TAGTGCTAGTCAACCCCCACTTCAGAGTGACATGATGCTTAATCTCTTGATGAGAATTGATAAGAAGTTGATTGATCAAGTTGAAAAGATGGTAAAGATTGAAGAAAAACTTCAATAGCTTGAAACTTTGCTATATCCAGTTAAGAAAACCAAAGTTCCCAAAGCTTCTATCTCTACTGCAAGTTAGTCAAGTGAGAGGACTGTTACAAAACAATTTGAAAGTGCTACTTCTAGTCATTGCAAGGAAACTAAAAAGGAAATACCTAAAAATCCATATGTGACTCAAGCTAGAAATGAGGAATCTAGAAAAACAAATGCTGAAAAAGAAAAAAATAAAAAAAAAACCACCCATTGAAGAGAATGAGAAAGAGAAAAACCCCGAGTTGAAAAAGAACATTCAAATGCTGATAAGAATTTTGTGAGCTCCCCTGCAAAATCTGAAGAGATTCTCGTTTCTGACTTCATAAGAGATATCATCAATGAAGCCAAAGCTAACCAAGCATACCAATAAGCAAAGATGCATTAAGAAGCTCAGTCAGCTGAACAAAAAACAAAGCAAACTACAGAAGAAGCACATCTAGAAAAAGGTAAAGCTACTGACATTGATCTTGTAGCTAAGAAAACTACTAGTAAAGGCAAGAAAACTATGGCTAGCAAGACCATAGCCTTCAGAAGAAGAAAGTTGTAAGACTGGCATTGACTTCCACCCTATAGTCCTCTAAATCTATAGACCCCAGTCTATTCCATTAGACTCTCCATCCCGTTCCTCTGCCAAACCTCTTAATGTTCATTTTAGCACTGACGAATCCTCACCTTCATTTGACTCCAATTAGAACCTTTTAGATGATGTCAAAATGGGGAGAGAAATAAGAAGACAAGAAAATAAGATTAGGAAGTAGAGTTGGTAAGAATGATGAACTAAGTCCCTAAGTTATGCTTTTCTTATCTTTGCTTTGGTATGTTCTTTTTTTTTTTGGTGAGGAATGGTTGTCTGGTTTATAAGTTTTATGATGGTGTTATGTGCTAAACTATGTTTATATGGGTTATGTGGCTTATGTTGTGCTGAGTTTCTATATTTCTATGTTGACCTTATGCGAAATGGTTCAATATTGAATATATACATATATATGGTCCTGTGTTTGAATGGCTTTATGTTGGATAATTTTATTAAAGCATAAATTTAGGGGGAGCACATACTTAGGGAGAGAAATCCTCAAACCTACACAAAATATTCTTTTCATTTATAGACATTGTACTCTTAATCTAAGGGTGTTTTGTCATCATCAAAAAAAAGAGAGAATGTTGACTCAATAAGTTTTTGATGATAACAAAACATTCCTCATTCATTAATGTCTAACTTCACTTTTTAAGTGTTCAGGATTTAATTTTATACCCCTAACAAAGTTATTAATTAAAGGCAAGTCAAGGTGCTTGTTAAGTTTAATGAAGAGTTAATCAATTAAAAGTGAAAGACCAAGTAATGAACAAAAACAGAACCTTAATAACTAATTATCAAGGGATGTTAATCAGCTATGGCATAGTTGTGTGATAAGTTGAAGTAAAACAGAAATATAATAATCAATTAAGAGATCTTGTTAATCAATTAAAGCATAAGGTTTTAGTATCTTTGAGCACCAAAAACAAGTTTGCAAATATTATTGGCCATTGAAAGGAGCCAAAATGGAGAAGTTCAAAATTCGAAGACTTTCTAGTTGATTAAAGGTGATTTTAATCAATTGTGGTTGAATGAAGTAAAGCTTTAATAAGTTAAGGGAAATGTTGACCAATTAGAGGAAAACTGCTATGTAGAGAAGTGAAAACTGAAAGTTTGTAATCAGTTAAAGCTTGCCATGAGTAGTTAGAGGAAGTCTGTTCAAGAAGAGAAGTTTGAAGACAAAGAACTCTTAATTAGTTAGAACCTCTTGTAATCAATTAGAGCAAAGAACACAACAGCAAGACAGTGTAAGATAGAGAAGCTATAATCAATTAGAGCTACCTATAATTGGTTACTCGAAGTCTATCTCTTTTTTTGAATTTAAACACTAGAGGATAAAATAACAGCTAGAAGTGCATCAGTGTTGTTTCTAATAGCTAAAATGTGTCTCCAACAGAAAAATCTGACTCCCAAGTATTAAAGGAAGCTCTAACAGCCAACAAAAAAAGATTTCAAGAAAGAAAAGCTACTTTGAGCAAAAAACCAAATATTCTTCACCAAAACACTTGTCTTTCATTCCATATACAAAAAACAAGTGTTTAAACTTAATTGTAATTTGTCCAGACTTGTAAAGCTACTTAGTTGTACTTCTTTTTCTTGAAAAATTAGAGTGTGGAAAGCACTCTAAAACTTGTTGTAAGGGATTAAAGCTTGAGTTAAAAGCTCACCTTGTGAAAACTTGGGAGAAGCTGTTAATTCCACTAGTATAGTAAAGTTAGGTTGAAAATCCTTGATTGGAAAATCAAGATAGTGGATGTAGGTCAAGGGGACTGAACCACTATAAGCACTCTTGCATTGTCCACTTTTTTTTACCCTTCCTTACTTGGTGTCTTATAATTCTAACAAGTTCTAGTATTTCCCTTCATCAAGTTGATTAAGAGCTCTATAAGCTCTAAAGGGCTTAACAAAATTTTTGGTGTTATTCACCCCCCTTTAACACTTTAACGAGATCAACATCTTTTCTGGTGCTTTACCAATTGATATAATGAGCTTTAAAATGATTCAATGCCTTAAAATTGATCTTATGCTTAATTGTTTTTACAAAGGAAGAGAATTTACTTATATCTATCAATTGGTATATTGAGCCTTAATACTTGAAATTGGAGCTAAATATTTATGATATGTGCTTATTGAGAATCTTTATGCTTATCTTTCTCAAACTTCATGAATGTTATGCATGCATCTTACTTTCATACATCTTCATATTTGTGGCATACTTGATTGGTTATACTTAACGCTTGGTCACAGTTGAGTGGTTGAATGACCTTTATGCTTGACTTGGTGGCTTGTGACTTTGTTATCTCTTGTGCTTAACTGTCTTGATGCTCACACTTCCAAACCTTTTTTATATAACAAAAAGGGGGAAAAAGATTATAAGCAAATTTGAAAACTTGATGCATAAGTTGAGGGAGAAAATTTAAAAGCATTTCAAATGCTAATTATGCTCGTGGTTTTATCATTTCAAAAATGAGGACATTATTAGCTTCGAAATGATTATAGTTTTGATAATGACAAAATATCATAATTTTCTTGAACATTACTAAAGTGATCTTTGACAAATTCTTGAAATGATGTAACACTCATATATTTGTTCTTATATAATTACAAGATTGACTCTTGAAGTTATTAAACTATATTTATAAGCGTATATGACTTATTTGTATGAGTGCTTATGATCTCTTTAACATTTATCTTTAAAATGTCAAAATTACAAGTTAGGTTCACAAGTGGTGGAGTTCGTCTCAAAGCATTCAAAAATAATCAATCTACACAACACCAAGCTTGCTTCAAGTCAAGAAACTCAATCATCAGTCACTATTAATCATAAGGAAGCTATGGCTAAAGCTATATGATAAAATTAGAAGAAATATTAAAGAAACAAAGCTTCAACCAATCCTAAAGCAAGGAAAATTAATCCCATGGTAGAACAAGCAAGAACAGGGGAAAAAGCTTGAAAAGATATAACCATAGTCAACCTTAAGGCAATGAGCACGTGAAATCCAAGCTTTTATGAAGCCATAGTCGACTTTGAGAAAGGTAGCCGACTACCCAAGGCCAAATGATTATTGCACATAGGTTCCAAAAGATAAACTACTAGTTTCTTGCTAGAATTATCTCTAACGGCCCCAAATTTTTTCCAAGCATAAAAAGGACTTCTCCAGCACATTTTAAATTTCAGAAAAGTGGAGAAAAAAATAAAATACTCAAGCTGTAACACTCCATATTTTGATATGGTGGCTAATAATGCTTATCAGATGCCAGTTGAGGTTAATTAGAGTATTTAAAAGTGATGAAGAGCGAAAGAAATAGTTTGGAATAAAATATTTCGCATGCGAAAAAATAGTAATTAAATAATAATATTTTTATCAAAGATGAATTAGCGAGTTAAAAAGGTTATTTAGAAGTGAACCGAGACAAGTGAGACATTTTGGGTCTCGATGGGACAAGTGGAGAATTTTGGTTTAAAAAAATATTTTATTAATAAAATAATATTATAGTTTAACTATTGTCGAAATTAGTCATGAAGGAGGATTATACGACTAATCTAAGTGGGAGAGAAGAAGTAAGAAAGGATTTTGAAGAAAAACGGCATTGATGGGGCCGCGTGTTTTTATTAAATAAAGTTAGTGTGAGTAAGTATATATTTAAATATTATGATGATACCTTGGTGAAGTGCAAATTTTATATTTTATTTGCACACATGTAAAGGAAGGAAAATAGAAGGAAATTGGAGTTTAAGAAATGTTGAAATGACCCAATGATAAAGGATGAAAGTTTGAAGGGGTCGAAAAGTAAATAAGAAAACTTTGAGGACTCATTTGCAATTTTAATATTTGAAGTTAAAAAAAGGGAATTTCTTAATCAAGGAAGGTTAGATTATGAGGAATATGAGATATGCATGTGAAAGTTACTATTACATGCAAACTATAATGTGCAAAAAGAAAAAGTTAGTGGGGGACATATGAGACCTCCATCATGTGAAATGAAAGAAAGAATAAGACTAAAATTTATTTGCATGTAATGTGATTGTTGCATTAGTGGTCAAATGAACAAAGAAGAAAGTGGGTTGCATGTGACTTGAATGGGACAATAGTGACTAAATAAAATATAAGGTGAATATGGGGCATGGAATAAAGGAATCAAAAAAAAAAGAAAAAGAATGGAAAGACAAGATGGCAGGTGGAAAGGTTGCAAAGGCTTTTTGCCTTGTAATTTTACCACATAAAAGAAAAGGAAATATGCAAAAAAGTCATCAAGCTTTGGGCAATCCGTCCGTGCAAGAAAAGTAAAAAGAAAAGAAAATAATAGAAAAAGGGTGTGGCTTTGGGCAATCTGCCCATGTGTGGGCAAAATAAAAAATGAAAGCCATTTTCAAGGCTTTGGCCTTGAGAAGTCCGCCTATAACCAAGGAGCAAAGAGAAAGGAGAAGAAAGAAGAAAGAAAAAGAAAAGGAAGGAAGGTTCGGCTTGGAGAAGCTAGAGAAAAATCGAGAGGTTTTTCCTCCCACCACACGCCATTGTTGAAGTTTAAGGAGAGCTTGGTGGTTTGGCTAAAAGATTTCAAGGTAAGGAAGATAGAAATTGTTAGTTTTGTTGAATGCAAGCTTTTTGAACCAATTAAAATGGGTGAAAATGTTTGCGGCAGCAAAAGAATACGGTATAGGTGCCAAGAAAACCACGCATGTTGGTGAATCACAAGGAATGTGAGACTTTGCTACCAAGGAGCTTGAGATTTCATGGTTTTAGTTTAAGTTTAATTATTAAGGAAAGGTAAGATAGATTGTGGGCTAATCCTTGATTGTTTATGCTAAATGATTATGGGTTAGAAAGAATGCTTATAATGATTGTGAGTAAGCATAAGACTAACTATGAAATTTGGTTAAGAATTTATTGGTTGATTTGCTGCCATACATGGGTATAATTAAGTGAATTGGATTTGAATGGTTGCTAGGAAGCGTATAAGTAAAGAAAGTGGGTTGTGGTGGCATGTCAAAGGAGCTAACGGGTGATTGACAAGTAAAATTAGTTATATACGCACTCGAATCAATAACGACGTAACGTCCCACTATTGTGAGATGAGTAAGGGGTGTCCATTTTAAAATTCTCATAACTATGTATATAAATATACGTGTTGATTTACTTTAAATGCAAATTTGTGGAAAGCATGAGCTGGTAGAAAGGCTAGGCATTTGTGGATGATATGACTTTTGAAATTTGTTTTGAGTATATAAAAGCTATATATGTAAAGGAATTTAGAATCGGGAAACAAGCTTTTTAACACGATTTACGTCAAAATGTGCCTTATAGTTTGTGTGATTTGCATTCATGATTGAAACACATATCTAGCATGAGGATTGATATTTTAACCTCATGCAAAGGGTTTATGTTTTAAAGTTTTATAAAGGATTTTTTCATGTTACCATGTTGAATATTTCGGAAATGGTTTTGAAAAAAGCTTTTGAGAATCGACCTTGATTTTTAAACGATTTTACCAAATTGAGAGATTCAAGAGTAGGTCGAATGTCACATCGGGATAGTGTGACCCTTGTGCACAAGTGAGCTTTAGTTTAAAAACTTTTGGGTTACCGACAGGCTATTAGACGTGGTTGGGGCCACGGTCTATGATATTTACGTGGCAAGGCCACGAGTTGATATATGTGGCTAAGCCACAAGTGATATACGCGATTACGACCGCCTGATTTCTTCGATGTTGGCCAACATTGTTGAGACTGCCATAGCTGTGGGGATCTAGTGGAGCGGAGCTCACAGATTTTATTACTTGGAAGTGGGTCTACGAGTTCTTTATTTTTATTACCTACTTGAGAATGATATCTTTTTGAGTTTTCAATACTTATTCTTTCGCATGATGAGAACTATAAGACTTTTCGTAGCTCCATTATTTGTACTATGATGTTGGATTTAACACCTCGCGTATGAGGTAATTTGTGAAATTGTGTATAAGCTTTGATAACTCTTAATTTTATGAGAGCATGCGTGTTTATGACGGACTGGTTTAAGTAAAGTTGTTGAATGAATTCAAAGATGAAAAATCTTGTACTTACACTGATTTGCTTTAAATAAGTTGCAAAATGATTTCGACAGTAGAGATCTTTACTTGAATTGATTTGATATTTGATTTAAATGATTATCTTGTAATAACTTTTTGATTTTACATATAAGGCACAAACCTCCCTTTTAAGCTAAATTGTTTACATATATTCTTATATTTTTAATATTCAAATTTTTTACCTTTAGCTTGTTTCCCATCTACGCCCTATTCACAGAGTTGATGATCACTAAGTCTGTGAGACTCACCCCCTTATTTCCTTTTACAGATAAGTAATACGTTCTAGTGCATCGCTCAGCACATTGAGACTTACTTCAACAAAGGTAAGGGCATCTCTCAGACTTCCAATCCGAGTCGCTTCGCTGCATAGAGGTGGTGTTGTGTAAAATAGTTTGACTTATAAAGATTATCAATCTATCGAGAATGTATTTGCTAAAGTTTGAGGTTGTGCAATGAATACCACTTGTGCTGCTAAAATTATTTTGGAGTCATTAAGTCTAATTATTGGTATCTAGCTGCTACGTCTTAAATATCAATATTTATCTAGTTTAAGTGATAATGATTAATACTAATCGATTTACATTCGTAAAAGAATATATGGTATAATTATCTGGAATCTTAACCAAAGCTTGTTCGGGATTTTGACGAGTTCACTCGCAAGTCTCAAACGTCTGTAGCGACTGAGGAGCGGTGGTTACACAAGCATCAAATCCTATTAAGAAAAGAGAAGAAACAAAGAAAAACCAAGCTAGAGCAAGAAAAACACATTCCTTCACTTAGCTTTTTAAGCTATTCTTGAGCTCCAAATTCTTTGTGCTTTTATTCCTTCTCTTTACACATCTTTGTGCATATCATACTATTCCAATATTGTACTCACCTAACAAAATCTACCTCTTAAAGGCAAACCTTGCTATTAATTGTACCCATCGTTGTAAAGGTTTTAACTTAACCTTAAAAAACTATTTTTGGGTTGTGCTTGCTCTCGTTAAAATGCATTTGTTAGTTGGGCTTAATCCCAGTAAAAGGCATTTGTATAGATTGTGTTTACTCTTGTGAAAAAGCACTGTACGAGTTTAATGCGTAATCTTGTTAAAAAGCACATTTCTTTGAGAGAATTTTAAATTCCTTTGTGAGCCAAAAAAGTGAATGTAGGCATTTGAAAAGATCGAACCATTATAAAATTCTTTTGCCATCATTTTTATTTTTGCTTTGGTATGTTGCCTTGTGCTCCGATTTACATTGTTCACACATTGGCTTGATTATTTACTACACTTTTTCAACCATCATCACTTGCATCTCTTATTTGATTTCACTTGAAAAATGTTTTAAGTATTTCAAAATTGATCATTTACTTGCATTTAATTTAATAGTTTTGTTAAAAATTTACTTATACATCAAAACCTTATCTGAAACCCTTCTACAAGTCTTGAAAACAATTTTTCTGATCCAAGATTGACTAGCAATCTTTTACCATATGAGTAAAACATCACTCTTATTTTTCAAAAGCCAACCACATTTAAAATCGACTAAAGTAGTATTATAAGTCCACTATAGTTTCTTGTTGCTACGTATTCATTGAACTAACATATCTAACAAAATTTATTCAAGAAAACAAGTCATTTAATTACATTATTTTCGTATGCTTTACTTTTGAATCTTTTTAAACTTTTACTATTACAAAATATTTATGAAATCATCCATCTTTTACAAAATATTCAATAAAAAAATCTACTTAACATTTAATTTTAACATAATGCCTTAAAGAGTGATTGAATTATTCAAAAAAATCAAATAAACTATTATTTTTTATTACGATCAATCAAGTCCTTATATTTTTATTTTAAATTTAATAAACCTTTATTACTAACAATTGACTATCTATAATTAGTCGAAAGAGACTAACATAAAAAGTGAAATATCAAATAATCGTGTCCTCATACTATATCATCATCCACTAAACATATTAACATATCACGTCAATAGCATGTAATATAAAATAATAAATAATATTTTGATTAATAAATATTAGTAAACCACTATTAATAAGAACTTTTTTAATCCACAATAAAAATAAAAATATTTGATTGAAAACAGTAAAATAATAATAATTTATTCGAGTTTTCATGAATAGTTTAATGACTTTTTTAGGGTATTATCCATTTAATTTTCTATAATACCCCAAGCAAAATTTATATAATTAATTCAATACTTCTTTTTTATACTATAAAATTCAAAACTAAAAAACTCTTACCTACTTTTTCAATGTTAAATTTTCTTCAGTGTATTAAAGTAACACGTTACCTTTCATAACAAATTTCTGTTTAAAGAAAAACAAAATGCAGACTTATAAAATGGTGCTTGAAGAAACAAATGCACACTTTGTACAAGAAACAATCAAGAACCATCTTGTGAGGGAATGTCATGGATCTGTCATACCACTAATCATGTGAACCAAAACCATTATTCACAATACTTTTATAGCTAACTCTGAATTCAGGCACTTGAATGTTGAAACTAATAACATGATCTTTTGGGGTCACTAAGTCAGCGTATATGACAAAAACGTGAAATATCAAGTACCTGAACCACTATAAGCTCCTAGCTTCACAAGAAATTTGAACCTTCATTCAGAAAAACCTTTCATCTGATGTTTCCCCATTTAGTTCATACTTACAAAATTCCAGCACAACTCTACAAGGAAGATAAATGCAACTACCACAAAACATGTAGGACAACTGCACATGTTATTTTGTTTAATATTCTCACAAATGATGAAAGAATCCCAAAAAAAAATCTCTAGTGGCGTTTCATTTCCTGGAATATATTTGCAACTCCTGGGGATAATCTAGGGAGAAACTTGAACAACTGCACCCAAAATATGATTTCAGGGAAAATTAATAACACAAACAGATCTTCAATCATACAAGACCCTGTGTTCATGCTCATGATGTTCCATTTTATCTTCAAGTGAAAAGAAAACAAAGATAAGAAGGGAAACAAAGAAACCATTCTGACCAGAATTATAATTGTAAACTACAAACTATAATTATAATCTTGCTTTCTTGTCCACCATAAACATTCTTTCTCTTACGAACATATGAAGGCAAACCAAGCATTGTTTTCTTCAGATTACTTGGACCACTAATGGTTTGATCATTTGAATTAATCCTCTTTTGACCATGAGAAAGTTAAACTGCATTCAGCAAGCAGTAATAGTAAGAAGCTAGATTCTTAACACCGTTTATCATAACTGTAAATCTTGACCTACGAATAGACTACACGTCCAAAACAAGCTCGCCATTTTCTGGTACTTCAGCTTTTATGAACTTTTTAAAGTGTTTATAGGCCAAAAGAGGTCACCGTATGGTGAAGTGGCACAAATTAACAAGGAAACAAACCAACTGATAGAGAGCCCAAAGTAATACATTTCCGTGTCTTCTTAAGGTTTTTTAGGCATCATTCATTATAACAATAATATAAATGCAAAGATTTTGTTTGTAAAACATACCCAAAGCTTCACGCATGCATCCATAACAACTGGAATCAGACAGACAAAAACGGTTATAGCAGACTGATCAACTTGCAGTCCATAATGCTCAACAATTATCTCTAACAAAGTCTGCCAACCAGATTCAGAATGATACCTGCAGATATGCAAGTCATAAGTTATAGTATAGAAATTAAGAAGTGCCACTCAACCCTAATTATGTTTCTTTAGTATAGGACGGCAAGTTTGGACTCAAGAATCCTACTTGGCAATATCTGCACTTCTATATAAAATTTAAGACAGAGAGTGGAAAATTTTTTAAAAAGAAATTATAATTAATACCACACATTGCAGGAATTTTACCAATTGATAGAGATCACAAGTAAAGATCAATTCATTTTCCAAGTTTAGTCAATATTTCAAGGAGACATGCGTTTACATTCTTTTGATTAAGATTTGACCATTGTTTATCTAATAAGACCTGAAGTTATATAAAAAATATATATTCAGATCCAATCTCAAATCAGAAAAAAGTTGAATTTTATTATCTCTCATCATAAGCTACTTCTAGTTAATTGTTTAAAACATTCAACATTAAAAAAGTGCAATAAACAATAAATAAGTACACCTTAAGCAATGATAGAAGCACATTACCCTAAAAAAATGTCTGTACTCAGTATAATGAGAAATGCCTTTCCAGTATCTGAAATATTACTTATTATTTTATAACCTGCAAATTTCATCAAAGCTACCTACAGGAAGTGGTGAGAAAAATTAGAAGAAAGAGGTGCCTCGTAAAAGTACAAAACATTTGGATGCATACAGAAAGGTAAGGTAAAATTCGTAATACATCCTCCTGCAAGAACAATAATCTGGATAGACATAACATTCAGCAACACAAATAATATTTATTTAACTAAGCCACTATAAAACCTTAGCCATAGTATTTCTGATAAACTGAATTATTCATCTCTCATTTTCAGTGTACATAGAAGTTTGAATTTTATAATTTCTCAAGACTTTAGTGCATGCTTATACGTTTCTTGAGCTAGAAGCTAAGAAGCTTGCTTAACAACAATCTGTTGGCAAGTCTAAGGTTATTATTTCTCTGCAATAAATCTGATAAAACATAGTCTTTTTAACTATTTACTTGCAATAGATCCTATAAAACATAGTCCATTTGTTAAAAAAGGAAAAAAGTAAAACCTCACACTGAGTGTTTGCCAAATACTAGACTTTAATAAGCAGTAATCATGCAGGACATTCTTTGCTAGAATGTCTATTCTAAGCGTAAATCTAAAAAGTAAGATTTAATCTATTTTGTAGACTTATTTGATTGGTTTATTTTATTGGACAATAAATTTGTGGGCTTATTTTATTGGCTTTTAGGTGGCTTTATTTTCCATGGCTTACTACATAGGTTTATGAAGCTTTACATGTGTGTTTGTGACTCTGTGTTTTCTTAACTTGGAAGTTAGGTTTTGGTTATTGGTACATTTTATGTTTAGATTTTGAATTGAGAAAACTTCACATTTGAGTTTATGCAGTTGAAAAACTTTGATTATTAATGAGTGTAACTTTTTGCAACCTAGTGTGTTTTCCTTCGGATTTATAGTATCTACGCAAGCATACCAGTTTGTTCTGCTAATGTCAATGCTATTAGGGAGAGACCGGAACCTACTACTTCTGAGGCTTGGAGTTTTCATGGCTTCGCTACTTTCTATTGGCAATTTTAGGACATTTAGCGTTATCACAAATCCTATTACTAACTGTCCTAAGTAATGTGAATTTCAATGGAACCCTGTGGCTGCTACTGCTTTTTTAGATATTAAAAAGAGATGGATTGAGGCCCCTGTATAATCGCATCTGGATTTTCTGAAGTCTTGGAAGTAGCATGTGATGCTTCTGGGATAGCCATAGGCAGCAGGCCATCCTATAGCCTTCTTTAGTGAGAAACTGACAACCTAGGCAGAGGTACTCAACGTATGAAAAAGAACTTTATGTTGTTGCCCAGTCTCTTTGTTACTGGAGGTTCTATTCACTACCCACGAAGTTTGTATTGATCATTTAGCTTTGAAGCTTCTTCAGTCACAAAGCACCTCAATCCTAGCTGTGCCAGAAGGGTAGAGTTTGTAAATGAATATACTTTTGTTCTTCAAACATCAAAGTTGTTGATGGACTAAGTGATAGGAATACTTTTAAACCTGCTATACTGCCTTCAAGTAATCTTGCTGGAACTCCATTGCACAGGTACCACTGTTTCCACCCAAAAAAGGAGGAGATTCAAGCTGTCTTAAATTTGGAGACTGTAGTTTCTACTAATGGTTGTCTACAGTGATATCTAGTTTAATGAAAAGGCCGCCAATCTCGAATGCTTCCTGGATTACTGCTAATGAGTTTCGCTAACCAGATTCTAAGCTCATTGAATGGTATTCGCAGTCTTAATTCTCAGGAGTTGAGTTCTTTTCAATCGGGGATGGAAGACAGTCTCGCAAGTTTTTGGCAGAATGCCTATTCTTGGCATAATTTTAGCAAATAAAATTAATCTATTTTGTGGGCTTATTTTTTTTTTTTATTGGACATCATTTGGCATTAGGTGGCTTTATTTTCCATGAGTTTAAGATAACACTTAGGCTCATATATGTAGGTTTTATTAAACTTGGAAGTTAGATTTTGGTTATTGATATTTTGACATTGAGAATTTGAATTGAGAAAACTTCAAATTTGAGTTTATGCAATTGAGATTTTCAGATTGTTAATGAGTGTTATCATTCTGAATTATCTGTTCTCTGTTAGGCAAAGGTCAAGCCATAATGAGGGATACAAATTCCTTCACAAAATATTGCACTTAGTAAAAAACAAGAAATTTTCTTTTTTTTTCAGTCTATTTCAATAGATAAATAAAAGAGAAATCAGCTTTCTAACATACAACATTTAAAGGAGGGCTGAGGGACAGAATAGGGAAACTGATAAAATTCAACTTGTTTCAAACTGATGTTGTTTGGATTAAGTAACTTTCAATATATATCAAACATACAGTAGTGTATACAAAAAACTAGAAAATTGATTTTGACAATCAAGACATCTCTAGTTCATGCTAAATTCTTTTGGGCACATGGAACATATTCAAACATAAGATATAACAGAAAATAGTTTTCAACAGAACCCAATTAGAATATGTAAAATATTCTAGAATGTCAAACCAGCATATCAAAACCACCTATATCAAATATCTGAATCCATGCTTCTTAACAATTCTAGCATCATTTTTAATCATGGCAAGTTACAGAGCTTATTAAGCTTATCACAGCATGTAATTAGCTATTTTATCCGCTAGTTATTGGTTAGCTATTGCAACATCTTAAACAAACTACGCCAAGATATAAGTATTCTGAACGTTCATTTCATAAATTAAGGCACATACATTATATTACATAGTTGCTTAACCACACAAACTTCTCTTAAATAATAGAACTGATCTAAAACTTGTTATTATTACTTCGTAACTTTTTCTAAATTCAATAGTTAATTGATCCAACCATTGGATTGAATATTTTACTCAAGCAGATATTGCATGCCAAATTTCAAGTCCAAATATCTTGAAATATTTCAAAGATAGCCAACTGACTTGAAATTTTCCATTCATGATAACCATAAATAGAACGGTAAATCTAATAGTTGAATCAAGGAAATAAAATGGTAGAAAGAATTATTGAATGGTTTAACAGTAACAAAATTAATTAACAATCCACAAATTGTAACAATAGAGAAAAAAATGCTTGATAAACGTTTATAAACTCCTTGCACAAGTTACTTTCATTTACTTCTCTCTGTGTAAGTATATGTGTGCACATACACATGACCACGTGCTAGAAAGCAAAGAATATACGTACATTACAATAAAGGAGACATACAAAACCATGCCATTACAGAGATATCAAGTTGATGAGCTCTACAACAGAATATGGGAAACAATGATCAAAAAAATATTAAGAAATGAGGCTAGTGTTTCAAAAAGTAACTTTGGATTTAAACAAGGTCAACCATGAAAGCTACTTTAACTTTTTTTAGAGCTTTGATAAAGAGATCTCACAGCAAAAAGAAAAATTTGAAAATGAATTTTACTAATATAGAAAAAGCTTAAGGTAAGTGTCCTTATAGCATGTTAGGATGGTGGGAATGGCTATCCAGATCTATCCCAGAGGGAGACCCTTTTCCAACGATTGGTTCAATTTTCAATGGGGAATAGCTATCTGGTCCAGCTTGGAATAGCTATACCCCTCGCCCCAGCCATTACTAACCGCTACGGAATAGATAGCACTATTCGTTTAATAGTTTATCCCTTGAGTATTTAATGAAATTGAGATCTTGTCCTTGAGCCCAAAGGAAATTTTTGGCCAGCAACTATTCATTTGCCAATGTCACCGTTGCCACCAATCAAATTTGGCAACTTAAACCACCAAACGAGGTGTCCACAAATAGATATGGCTCATCCATGAGAGCAAGCTAGAGAGGAAATTGAAAATATAGAAAGGAAAAAGACAAGAAGAAACGAAGGAAAGAAAGGTAAACGGGTAAAGAAAAATAAAGGAATTGAGGAAGAAAAAATATAAGAGGAAGAGAAGAAAGAAAATAAAAAGAGGAAAAAGCTTGGGACTTTTTTATTAAATGGTAAGATGGCACTGTTATATTTATTTTCATTTTATTCCTTGAAATTATTCTAATGAAACAAACATGTTGATGATAATCATAGTCTAATCCATTTCCATTAACTAAACCATAAAATACATATTTGATCCATCTCCCAACCCTACTATATTCTCATTAAATAACTATTCCATTCCCATTTTATTCATTTCACAAACCTAAGGTGGCCATAGAGAAATCCTTGGAAAATTCTTGGGACAGAAAGAAGCTCTTATTGCTGTATAACCACATTATGGAGGACACACACGACAAGGCAATCACTTGTGCAAGGACTCATGGAAGAATGATAGACTACTTTCCATTAGCAATACGTTTACACCAAGGATCAGTACTGAGACTTTTTTTTTTCCCAAGTCATTGATGAATTTACTAAGCACATTAAATATATTTCATCTTAGTGTAGACTTTTCCCGGGTAACATAACACCAAGACATGAAAACAGGAAAACTGTAGGATTCAAAGCAATAGTTAAGGCAAAAAACTTTCCTAATTTATGGGTTTTCCACCCAATTGTTCTAAAACAAAGTATTTGGAACGCAAATTTAGTGCAATAGTAGAAGAGAGAAATGCAAATAAAGACAAGTTAAAACGCTGAGCAATTTCAATAACTTTCCAGTTGCCACAACTATCTTAAGGGATGGATAGAGATGTCACTCATAGGATTAAAACTGGGATATATGAATTGGAATAGTGTTTCAAGAGTCTTGTGTGATCATAAACTTCCACTAAAACTTACAACGAATTTAGGTTAAGGGGAGGGAAGAGAAAAGAAAGGATGGGAAGGAGGGAAACCTATGCTTTTGCTCATGTAGAACTTGCAATAAAAGGAAAAGAACAGATACTGAACACCCGTCCATTTCCCCTCAAATGCCAATTTTTCCAATTCCCCCACATTGAGGAGAAAGGAAGGGAAAGGAAAAGATTAAACATTTTTAAATATTTTATATTGTGATGTGCGTTATGCCCTTATTGTCTCCATCAAATTACAAACGTATATAAAACCTTTGTAAACTTCAACATCTAAACCTAGTCACGGCATCCGGATTGCTTATGTTCAATTGCTAGCAACAACAACTATTTGGCTTTCACACTTGATTCCTACAACACCTGCCAAGTATTTTGTCTTGTTAGATTTTCCCTTGCTTTGGTTGAAATCCTTTTCATTTTTCTGATCATTGTTCTTGCAGTCTTAAACGTTTTATATATGGCTCATGAGTATGGAAGCCTTGCCCTCAACCGCAGGGGGTTTGCATGCAAAAGAGGGATAAAGACAGTTTTTGTGGAGCCTGATGCATTGGTGGAGGTTCATGCCGAATTATCTTTTAAGGAATTACACACACACACAGAGACATGTATGTAAGTATGTATGTTGTTGTGGTAATTCCAATTTTTATTTGATGTAAAATAATTACATCGTCCACTCCTTAAGCAAACAAAGGATTTTGATAATCCCTTCGCTTCCTTTCTCTTCTTCATTTTTTGCTATACTAAAAAGGAAAGTATGTATCCTATCCTTTCCTTCAAATATCCCTTCCTTACCTTACTTTCCTTTCTTAATCAACTTGAATCAAACTTCCTGAGCATAAGATCTTTAAACATGCATAGTGGCACAATATGATCCATATAGCCACTACCACCTGGTGGAAGGAAGGATTAATTTGTTGTTGCTGCTTTTGTAATTATTGTAGTTATAATATCAGTTTTTATGCTAATCTATAACTTATATGTTCTCAATGTACCACCCATACAATGTCAAACATAAGTCAACAAAAATAATATGTATTTAGAAAAACTATCCTACCAGAAAGAGAGAGAGAGAGAGACAGAGAGAGAGAGAGAGAGAGAAAAGAAACAATAATTGTAAGGAAAACACAGACTTCCAGTTGCATTGAAAAAATATTTTTCATATTGGATTTTCATGTGACACATAATTTAGCATAATTTGGCTAAACTTCAGACAATATTTTTTTATTAAAAAAAAAGGGGAAACTTTGTCAATCTTTGTTCCACTTACTTCTCTACAAGCAGGCAATACGCCAGCTTTTAAAAAGCCATGATTGGTGTAGGGTTGGCCACTTATAATATAAAAATTTAAAGGGAAACATTATTTTCACATAAAAATAGGGAATATTTACTTGGGTAAACAAATGAAATCCTATGTTTATTTGACATAGAATAAAGAATCCTTATGTTGATTGTTAGATCATGTTGACAATAGTCTGACAATATTTGTAAAATATCAAAACAGAAATACGAAAAGGTCTAATGCGGGAATCCCAATATAGAGAGGCCGTAAAGGGGTACTTACCTTACTTTGATTGAGGTGTAAGAGAAGGAACAGTGAAATGCCAAATACCATATCTGACCATATGTTGGCAAATGCTTTACGATTCTCTAATCTGAACTCATCTCGTAACTCTAACCTGTTGAAGCATTTAATTAACAGGACAGTAAAATTTAGCTTTGATAAAATAGGGTAGTAGGGAATTATTTGCAGGAAAATTATCAATTTAGAATGCATGCTTGACAATATTGTGCTTGATTAGACAAATTATAATCCATCAGTATAGCTTTCATATGCAATACCAAAAGCGCATTTTCAGTTAATATTAGTCTGTTGGAAAGCCTTCACTTTGATGGATTGAGAGCCTCAAAAGTTCACATTGTATTAGGTGGGTATAACCTAATTTATGTATTTATAGTGTTTTTCTCTTACAAAAATGGTAAATTAGTTGACAATTAATTTCTAGGGAATTGTCCTGGCTAGGAATGTGTGAAATTTTGAAATCAATTAACACTAACAAAAGAGTTCTCAGCATTATAATATGATGGACATGTACTATTGTCTTTATATGTGCATGCTATAATTTTCTTTTGAAAGATGCATGCTGTAATAGCATACAAGTTATGTGCTCAACTTCATTTCTTTATTTGTTTTATAGTCCTTATTCCTTGTTTGCCACTTATATTACTTCCTAGAAACTCAAAAGAATTTATGTCCTTTCATTTGAGGAAAAGTACATGTTTATCCTTTATATTCTCCAAATTTAGGTCATCCAAATATCACTTTTAAGTTAACAATTTCTTGACCAGAAGAACCAAACAATGAATTTTACAATTTTATTGGCAAAATTCCATAAGGGCCTCTTCAATTGTGGGGTTTTGAAATGACGCATTTTGGATTATGCAATTCATAATTCAATATTATTAGCAGAAACCTTAGCAAAGTGCAATTAAGACTAATTGTTTCTTTCATCTATCAGTAGAAGGACTTTTATTTAGGTTCCTACTATAAATCACTTGACTAGCATATTAGTTCTAGTAAACTAGATGGGTAGTGATTTCAAAGTACATACTTGTAATCAAATGCCAATATTCTAGGTTTGTCACAAAGGTAGAATTAATAGCCGATGTAGAACCTTTTAGAAGGATTGATAAGGTTTTATTTATTTAGTTTTTGGTTCTTCCAATCTTGGTCTCTTGATTTAAACACCCTAATTAGTGTTCCAACTTTAAGTTCTATTCCACATTTGTTACTTTCTGTAACATTTTCTGCATCATTTTGATCCTAAGTTTCTATGATTTATGCTACAACCTAGTCATTGACTATCGTGTATTTACTTCAAAAAGCATTGACGTTACCAAATTAGACATTTGCTATCACATTTATTTATCAGAATATCAATTGATGTGAATTGATAGTGCCTTTGTACAGCAATTGATTTTATCACAGCCCTGGTCATTGGCTATAGAATATAGCATTAAGTTCAAAAGGCAATGAGGCTAACAAAAAAATGTTTCTATTACATACATATATATCAGAAAATTGATTGGATGCATTCTAACAACGTCATGACAGAAAGGGCATATCATTCATCCAATCAGCCAATCTTTCATAATATTCCCTGCATTCAATTTCATTCTTTATATTAGATTCATGAGGATTTTAAGTCTACCTTGCACCTTTTCCACCAGTTTTACATTAAAATTTTGCCAGTAATCCAAGAACAAAGAGAAGAGAAAGAAGGGAAAAAGAAAATTAAAAGAAGTATCTCAGCCTCATTGATCTGTAGGCTTTCTATTTTAAGATAATTGCAGGTAAGCAAATAGCAGGCATGCTCATGTAGATTGAAATGACAACTACCTAATGCCCAAGATAACAAGCCTATAAATGACAGAATATCAAGCATTAATTCATTAACAAGCAAAATAAAATATTTTGGCCTCCAATGGAAAGGAACTCCTAAGCTAGTATTATCAAAAGAGTGGCGAATTACATGGTGAGATCTACTACCTAACATAGTGATGAAAGAAGAGCAATTTAAATGTTTCACAGCTATAAGAGGTCAGAGTTTCTAGGGTATTGGATGTATGCATTCTTTAACACATTCAATAGTTTTTAGGTTTATATACAATGAACAATTTTCATCATGAATTTAATATTTTAAAATTAAATTAGAGAGAGAGAGAGAGCACAAAGAATTTGAGCTTAACAAAGGAGCAAAAGACAATGTGAATCTTACGCTTTATGCCGCAATTCCCACCAAAGTTCTTCATCAGAAAGAGGCGGAGATTTACCTATCTCCACCTCAAAACGGAATCTTGCTTTTTCAACCTTAAGTTGCTTAACCATTTCAAGCTTTTGACTTCTTCTGACATCAAGCATCTCTGCTGCCAGTGGCACAGTCTTCACGTATCTAATTATGACAAAGCCTCTCATTTATTGTTTTGACCATTGCATAAAAGTATTGAACAATAAAATTCACTTTATAATTATTAAAACAAGGTATTAGCCAAACAAATTACCAAAACAGGATCATCTTTAAAATTCAATTTTGTGATTATATAGATTCTTGATTTGCATCTAGAATCGGAAATTGTCTTCACTTAAACAAGGACCTTGCTCCTTCCTTCACTTGGAACGATGTAAAATAGATAGATAGATAACTAAAGCTATACCCAAGTTTAAGAGGAAGGATATCCATGGATGTACCATTTCAAGGGGAAAAAGACTAGAATGGAGACACAGGCTTTAGTCATAATAATAAAATTTCCCATTCTTTTCTAGCATCATTTGAATGAAAAGATTAACCATTTAAACTGGAACCAGAGTTTATACCTGTCCAAAAATGGCATAAGAACATAGTCATGAACCACAAAATCTAAGGCACAGGGTATAAGTACCAGTGCTGCCACAAACTTGGCCTGTCACGAAAAGTTATGAACAGCTTAGGCCATGGTCACATAAGTACTTAAGATTTAACTATAAGCAAGATCACCAAAGAACTTCATTGTAAGCAAATACAGTTAAGAACTTGATTACAAGTAGATATAATGGCCAATCTATAACAAAAACTTCAGGATAAATGGAGTAGAAGTTGTTTTCTCCAGTGAATAACGCCCACCAGTGGCCAAGAGAACGTTGGTTAACAAACTAAAATAATAGAGTCATAGAGGCAGATAAACCTTGAAAACGAAAAAATTTAAAAAAAATAAAGAGCTAATGCACAATCATGAAGAAACACATCAAATGTCAAAAGTCAGACTACACTAAATTATGTTTGGTAGGGAGGAAAAATGAAGGAAGAAGAATAGTGTTTTTTTCCTTGGTTTAAATCTAATGCTTTCAAAAGTGAAAGGTAAACATATTTTGTTCTTAAATTAATCATTTCATGTACAATTTTACTCCTACCTTGTTCCTTTCTCTCTATATTTTATCCTTTATACCAAACACAAACACAAGAAGCATAACAACTTTTCCTTTCTCGTTTCACCTTTCACCATATTAGATAATGATGAATCAGCGAAAGTAACTAATTCAAATAATGACTCACCGAATTCAGGGAGGCATACCGAAAAACACGGTCCTCGTACAAGATATCCTCATCTTCCCTCCCAAGAACCAAATCTCTGACAGACTTAACCAAGCCGTCTCCTTTATCCTCCCCCCAATCATCATCACGGCCATCATCATCCCAATCTTTTGCAGCACTATGTTTATTATCATCCCCAACCACAATCCAGTCCTCCCATCTTCTGCTCTCCTCATTCCTCATATCCTCTTGTGCTTCCCTCAACTCCATTATGGCCTCCGCCCTCCTCTTCCATGCCTCAAATTTGTCTCCCCCTGACAACTCCTCCGACTCTGAAAACTCGTCCTCGCCTTCCTCCAGCATGTCGTCGTCCTTGAGACCTAGCCAATTCCCGTCATCGTCGAAAAAGAACCTTTGCCACCAGCTTCTTTTCCTTTTCCTTTTCTTAGAATAATTACTATTGTTGTTTGCAGCATTTGCCACGAACCCAGAAAATCTTTTCCTTTCGCAACTGAGATGAAAGATAAAACACGATGGGTTACGACAAGAGACACAGAGTGAGGAGGCTTGGGGTAGGTATTGGTTGATCAACTTTAAATGGTCGCACAACACCATTGAAGTGCTCATTAAATAGCATTTGTAAAACCCCGCATCTTACAACCTCTCATAAAACCCAGCTGAGGCGGTATCATATATTTGAAGGGATATTTGAAGGGTGTTTTCAGAGTGAAATGTGAAAAAGGACGGGCCAGCTTGATAGGCAGTGAGGATAACCGCCGCGGGCTATTTTCTGGATAGACATATTTATAATATTATATATAAATTTTCTATTATTTGAATATAGAAAGGCTATGTCTTTTGAAATTACCTCAAATTTAATGGATATATTATACATTTTACAGTGTGAGAAACATAGGATAGCAAGTTTTCATTTTCTGTCAAATCATCACACTAAAAAAAGCACCATAACAAATCAGCAAAAAACCTTTTAAAACTATAAGATTATGTTTAGTGTCTTAAAATACAATCACGTTACAGTATTTAATATATTAAAAAAAATTAATTAAAATATTAAGAGAATAATATTATAACGTTTGGTTAAAAAGTATTTTATTAAAAATATAATATTAATTTTTAATTTTTTTTATATATTAAAATATAAATTTAATATGCTTATATGTTTTTTATTATAAATTTTTATATGATATCATCTTTTAAATAAATTTTTCAACAAATAACCAAACATCAAACAAGACGAATTCATATTAATATTAACTAGAAAATAATTTTTTATTTGTTAACAATTTAAAATTTTAAAAATATATTTTTATTATTATTTTGAAAAAATCCTAAAATATTACAAATAGAAATACTAATTTTTATAAAAAATAAAAAAATTAAAAACCAAAATGAGAGTTTTTTGAAAAAAATTGAAAGTTAAAAGGAAATTTTTTTATTTTAAAAGTACATTAAAAACCACAAAGAGGAAATTATTTTTATGACTTTAAAAATTATGGTCTATTTTAGCATCCTTATTAAAATTTTATAACTTTAATGATTAATAATAATAAAATGGCTCAAAAGAGAAAATGAGGGTTTTTTGCAAGTAGGCATGGAAGACGAGGAGCAAACATGGACTTTTGGCAACAAGGGTTTTAAGGCATAAGGATACGTGGACGATCATGTTAGCGTAAACTCTACAAGCCAATCGATTTTATGTTTGTAAAATATTATATTAATTAGTCATGTTTTATGTTAAATACATTATCAATATTTTATATAATGTATGAGATATTTCTTTATCTATGAGTTTATTTATAAAGAGTTATGAGAAACTTATATAGATAAAGTCCTTGAAACATAATGATCTTGCAAAGAAATTATAAAGGTTATAATTATGAGATTCTTATGCATTAAAAGCTTATTCCTAAATATGTTCTTGGTCATTGTATTGTCAAAAAAAAGGGCATTGACAATACTCAAAAGTTGGTACATGCTAAGCCTCCTTACTTTGGAAGTAAGTAATCAATTTCATAAGTTGAATTATATGATATACTTAGATATAGTATGTGGGTGCTTGTTAAGGAATAGTTCACTAAATATGACCCGTTATGAGAGTTTCATTTAATATTTCACTCAAGTGTTTATGAAATTACCCTCATGTGTCAGTAGTATAAGTAATCATTAGACTTGTAATACTAGGTCATCTTGTATGTGAATTGTCATACCTTAATTTCACCCCTACGGGTCTGGAGGTGACTAGATGCTTAAACAGGGTGCTCTTTGGTATTGCATGAAGCATGCAAAGATGAATGAGCAGTCTAAAAAGGATTTATCACTGTAAGTAATTTAAAAGGGACATATCTAGCTTGCTTCTAACTTATATTAACAGAGTTCTTGGTCGAGGCGATCATGATAAATCTTGCTAGGTCAATATGAAGCTTTAGGACTAATGTGGAATGTCGTAAATAAACACAATGCCATGCTTTATGACATATTTGAGACATTTGATGAAAGGATCGGATTACATTAAGATACAATATACTAAAAAGCTTAGTCAAACCATATTGACTCTCCTGACATATGGGTGGTCATGATATAGTGCTAGATGCCACTCATGATTTATAAATATAAGCAATTGGACTAATTTATATTTATTATCAATATGTTGGGGGCCTAATGGGTCGTACCAATAAGGTGACAATGTGAAATTAAACTGAGATTTGTAATCAATCGAAAATTTGGAATTTTTAACATGGACTTAATTAAATTGTTTAATTAAGTATAAAGGTTAAATTTTAATTAACCAAAAGTTAGATTAGCAATTTAACTTAACTATAAATACTTAAATGTAGATGCTACACCATATGAGAAGAAGTAAAGGCGAGAAAGACTTCACAGAAAATCGAAATAGGATTGTTTTTCTTTGTCATCTTTTCTACCAAAACTGATTTTCCAAAAGGTGAGATTTATGATATCTTAGTCACTAGCATCGCTTTACAACATACACATAATCCCTACCTTAAAAAAGGCTTTCATTTCTCACCTGTGTGGATTATCATTAAAAGTTAGACACATGAACAACTTTGGTTTGTGAAACGGACTTTGATGTGCAATCAAGAAAAAGGGTCATAACGTGTGATTTATTGAAATCACTACTAAAGGTATGATTCTGATCATTTACTTGTATGCATGAATGCTAATCTGATCAAATGCCAAAACAAGTGATCCAATGGAGGTTTCAGTTCTCTATGTTTATTTTCGCTAAGCTATTCAATTTTTATTATTAATTTTTTGAATTTCGTTCTTTTATTTGAACATGGTCGAAATCTAGCATTGGTATCAAAGCCACCTTGTATTTGCTTTTGATCGGATAATGCTTTAGTTGTTGCTAATATGAAGAAATTAGCTTTACCGTAAAACCTTAATTCAAATCAACATGTATGCTATAGTTGTCAAACTTGTTTTGATTAATTTTAACATTCAATTCCAGCAAGTTAATCATGATTTGAAACTTGATCTTAAGTATTTAGATATTGATTTGAATCAAAGTTTTAAATATTGAAAGAATTAGGTTCAAAAAGATTGGAATTTTTTCATACGAGTTTGAACTTGATATAATGATATATCATAACTAGAAAAATTTGATTTTTCTAGGGTTCATGGAGTTTGTTTTCAGCAACTTCCAAACTTGAAAATTATGCTAAATTATTTAGTATATGTTTTGAAAAAATCAGATTATGGCTTTTCATGAAAAGATTTCTTAAACATCCCTAATTTCTTAGTACATGCATTATCCAAGCAATAGTCAACTAATGGATTTTTCAACCAATATTTTGGCACCCATGAGAGATAGTTAGTCCTCACTTTTGGGGTTTGAAAAGAGTCTTTATGTCATCTCAATTGGTCTTGGTTTGGGAAACCTTGATTGGTTAGAAGAAAGAAAGAAAAATCCTTAAATTAAGGAATTTCGATTGTACAAGGAATGTAATACCTTTAATGTCGATTTCTTCCATGATTTAAGCGATTGAATTTTTCCATCTTTAATTGGATTAAATTTGGATATTTATCACTAGTAAATTCAGCCAATTAAATTTCTAAAATGGTTTTGGAAAGTAGACATGTTAGTTACCTTAAATGGTTAAGAAACTAATATAAAATAACTACTTAATTAGGTAAGGTTACCTAATTGTTCTCAAGTACTTAAAAGTTAGAAAAATTAGTCAAAATTGTTTGACCAATTAATTTAAATCAAAATGAATAATATTTGAATGAAAACTTAATTAAACCTAATGTGATTAGAATATATCTTAATTAGATTAAGGTTAATGTTGATTAAGTAAAGGATTGAACTACATATGCCATGGTTGGCAATTACATACTAAAGCATGTGTAATTTTAATATGTTCATGACATGATTATGGATGTATAAGGATGATTCTAGACTTAGGCCCAATGTGATTGTGGATGGTTAAATTATTTCATGATGTTTATTTAATTAAAAAAAGTCTGCACATCCAACCTTATCTCTTAATTTTTTAGGTTGGTAAAATTCTTTCCTTACTTAATTCTTGTCAAATGTAACTTGAGGTTTCTTTACTATAAATGAAATTAATTACATTGAAGTGTAAAATTAAGTTTAGCTAAGAAAATATTTTGTAACTCAAGATGGAGAATAAAGGCACCATGAAGATGCAAAAAGATTACAAGCAAGCTTGGAGAAGACTATGTATGCAATCACTTAAGATTTAACCAACTACTTTCCTTCAACAGTTCAAGGAAATTAGATTAGATAAAAGTCCATAATCATCCTAGTAGTATGCATATAATAGATTTATTTTATGCAATATTATAAATGTTATGCATGTTAAAATTGATGAGACCTAAATAACAAGATAAAAGCAACAACAAAACCCTCATTAAATATTAGGTCACATGCACAGTATGATCAAGTGGCCTTCCACCATATAGCAAGATAAGTAAACTGGTCTCTTAATTGGAAGCTTGTTGAGTCACTCATGGCCAAACTTTTACACGAGTACATTTGAGCTATAGGTGGGTTTTACTCAACTATACTGTGTTGTTTGGATGTGTAACACTTGACCACATGGTATTAAAGGCATAGTTAGGAAAAATGCATATGATACATTTCGACAAAGAGTTGTCACTTAGCCGATCTGGGAGTTGCATGGAGATGCAATTAATAAACTATGTTATCTACCCAATTAGGTTTATGTTGATTTGGTGAGTCACTCAAGGTTACAATAAGTTAAAAAGGATCCTAACCCACTAGAAATGCCTAGTAGAGATTTCATGTAATAGAAAGGGCTATTATTACAAAAAATTAGTGGCAGAGCTAATGCAAGATTTAATACATTGTCTTAAATTGGTTAATAACGCGAAAGACTAATACAAATACTTTTTCTATAGGTATAGGTTTTTAGAATGGGTATAATGATAATTGCTACTTTGCTTGGCATACTTGATGGCATTAGTCCAAAATTTTTGGATTGGAATATCGCCTTGAGAAAAGATCTTAATAAATGGAAGGGTGTAATCTGACAAGTAAAGAGATAACTTTAAATATGATTAAGCTTAACCTTTCTACTGCCAACCTTAAATCTTGGATAATAGACTTAGGATGTCGATCGCATTTATGTACTAACATAAATCTTTAAGGGATAGTAGAAAACTTGGTAAAAATGAGGTAGTCTTAAGAGTGGGCAATTATGAAAAAATTGTAATAGTTGCCACTGGGACTTGTGATCTCATTTTACGATTGA